CCACCTTCATCCTCCCCTGCCCGGCTAGTGGTGTTAGGCGGCGGGGAAACCTGAGCTCGACTAGTGGTGTTAGACGGGTTCGGGTATCCGGTGTGGGGGCTGGTCGATTCTCTTTCAATTGAAGATGGGTCGATCTGGGGACTGGTTCGGGGTCAGTTTCGGCTACTTGTATAGGCGTTCACGCAGTTTTCGGTAGTGGATTCTCAAGCTAGGAATCTCTCTTGTGTCGATCGTTCACTGCTGGTTCGGGCCAGCTCGTTCGCTGGGGAAGGGCTTCTAGTTTTATTTTCGTTTATTTGTGTTTTTGTTTCTTGTGTTTTTTGGTTATGTGTTCGCATTTGTGTTGCGAGTGTCTCGTGTTTTTGGTTTGGGTCGTTGACCCCTGTGAGCCCGAGTGTCAAACTTATTATCCTGTTGGGATCTGACACTCGGGTATTACCCTGTTGGGGTCTTTGTAGTTGTTTTATTTGTTTGTTTTGTTGGTTAGTTTAATTTCGAGTGTTTTTATTCTAGCGTTGTTAGCCGAGATTCTAGGCGGTATTCTGACATGTCCTCCCACTTTTTCAGCTGTTGGTTGCTGTGTATTCAGCCGTTGGCTGCTGTGTATTCGCACATTTGTGCATTTTGATTTATAGTATTTTCTATTGTTTTGGGGAAAAAAAATTATATTGATATTTTTTTCATTTTTACTAATGATAAACTACAAAATGCAATATGTGCATTATCTAACTTATAATTTTAAATATTACATACATACACGTTAAATATATAAAATTATTTATATCCGTGTATGTGCAAATTATCGAATACTAGTAAAATAATAATCACGGGACACGTGTTCATAAATGTAATTAAATAATATAAAATTAAAATCCTATATCTTTGGGCAACAAAAATTATGTTATAATGTTTAAATAATTATTCTATTACAAATTTTCCATTAAGTATATCAATAACTTAAAGAGTTTAAATTAGTCCGTGCAATTCGTTCTAAAATCATTCATCATTTCATAATAACATATATATTAAATATAGATTTTAACAAAGCTATTCGAAGCAAACATGTGATGTTTATAGTATCTATGAAAGTCGTGGCTTTATTTTATTTTGATCAAACAAGCTTCACTAGTAAGATGTTGCAGCACAGTAGAATCCTGTTACCTTCTCTTCTCATGCCCAGCTCACAACAAACGGGCTTCGAACTTTGTGCTTCAAGTTAACCCACGTAATCGAACCAAATGAGTGTTTCTCATGATCTGATGTTGTAGTGATGAGTTTAAATGTCACCTGAAAGCTTAGTTTGTTAACATGTTCTGTAAACTGTAGTTTGCTTGGCACCACTTGAACTTCCAAACCAGCTGGAGCCTCGACGAATACCTCGTAGGTCGAGTATCGTTCTCCAACATTAGTCACGTTTCTTTTCACCGTCTTTGTTTTATCTGCTTCCAAGCCCGAAATAGCTATTGAAGGATAGTTCATATCAGAAATAAAATCAGGATGCGAGTCACAAGGGCAAGAAAAGTTGTGTGGAATATAACTCGACGCCATGTGTTTAATTGTAGATGTGTTGTAGCCCATGTTGCACAGGAATTGGATATAGTCGGTGGTTTCTGTCTCGTACACGAGCCCTGGTTGCAGTGAAGCCGTGAGACTTATTTCCCCTGACCCAATGTCGTAAGGGTTGGCTATCGATCCATTTTCCGTTGTAATTGGGGATTGTAAATTGTTTCTATATGTTGCTGCAGATGAAAAAAAGTTTGTGCCTGAGTTTTGAAATTGATTTAGCTGAAAAGTAGTCTTGTATCAAAATTGAAAATATAAATCAATTTGGATAACGAATTTTAATTTGTTTTCTTAATATTAATTTATCCATATTCTAAAACCTGTTGTCATTATGGCTGATCTGATCGCAGAGGAACTCCATCTGGGATGTTGAGATTTGATAAGTGCAGCGAGTCCTGAAGCATGAGGGCACGACATGGATGTGCCCGATAAAGTAACGAAGCCAGGCGGATCCATGCCACTTATCTTCGTGTGGTCATCCAATGGTGGATATGCTGCAAGGATGCCAACACCAGGTGCCACAACATCAGGCTACACAAAGACGAAAGATCATCAGGCATGAGCAATCTTTTAAATAGTTCTGAGTATATCATATTCTAGGCATGCCATAAATCCCATGGGGTCAAGTAACCAGCTCGTTAACTGTATATATAGGTCGGGTAAACTCGGGATGATTGGGTTCCAGGGGTCAAGTTCGAGTAGAAATATACTACACGAACCCTGTGTCAGGTGGGGTTCGGATATAGTGTGAAAACTTGCTACCCAACACGTTTACCCGTGTTCATCATTGTCTTATTCATGTAGTCTAAAATATATGGAAAAAAATATTTTGATGGGAGAAAATGAATAAATTTTACATTGAAATCCAAAAATTAATAAAAAAAAGAGAACATATGGAATGATATATTTGACTAAAGCCAACTACACCATAATAATAAATATTTATTTATATCTATTACCAAGCCTAATTCTTAAGTCATAAAATCTATATCTATATATATATAAAAAGAAGGGTTAATTGTATAAAAAACCACCACCTTTTGTTTAATTGCAAATAAAACTCAACCTTTTCAATTTGGCAAAAAAATACCTAACTTTTGTTAAGTGTTGCAATTTTTTACAACCTTTGACCGAAAAATTGAACGTCTTGTCGTCGAAATTTTTTCGTGAAACTCGGATATGTTGTTGGCACGGAAGAGAGCTACAAGATCATATAAAAATTTTCAATATCCGGCAAAGTTGGCGGCGGCGGGTGGCGGTTGGCGGCGGCGGTCCGGCGGACGAGACAAAATTGCAACAGTTAATAAAAGTTAAGTAATTTTTTGCCAAATTGAAAAGGTTGAGTTTTATTTGCAATTAAACAAAAGGTGGTGGTTTTTTATGCAATTAACCCTAAAAAGAATTATTATTTGTTTAAAATGACAAGTCAAATTGTGGTCAAATATAGTTGAGCATTAATTGCATGCTATTAATAGCAAGTTTTTATTTTTTTTTTTATTTAGAAATGTGCATCATTAATTATTACATTTAAATGTGGAGTTTGTTATTTATTTTTGCGCAAGATTAGGCTGTTCCTTTTTCATTTTCACAAATTAAAAAAAAAAATCTTTAACATATAATCGTGTACCACATTGCAAATTTTATTTTATTAAAAAAATAAATTACGCCTAATTTAATAATATAAACTTAAATTAGTATTACAATAAATCAGAAACTCTTTTAACATCAACTCTCTACAATTGTTCTAATCGGATGTTTTTATTTTTTAAAAAAATAAATTACAATTCATTTATTTTGTGGATTTTGTACATTTAATTAATTACAGTTCAATTAAATCCCTAAAAGATAAATTGGTGGATTTGGTTCTATTAAGTTCTAAAAATTTCGATCATTAAATATAATTTGAAATTCAAAATCCTTTCTTATATTTGATTTAAAAAATTCAATAGTGTTTTTTATTCCAAACAATCATATTGCCAAAAAAATTACCTTAAAACTTGAATTGAAAATTTGAAATCCAAAATCCCTTCTCATTTTAGTTGCCATAAAATTTGGCTTGATTCAAAATCTCTTTCTAATATGAAGGATTTTGTTCAAATTGAATTAAAAAACATCTAATCACATGCTTCTATCCTTGAACGGCTAACCTTAATAGAAGAATTTTGCGCCACTTTAAAATTAACAAACCTCTTGGAAATTACAAAATTATAATGAATTTTATTTTTTTAGGTTTCAATTTGCACAAAATTCAAAATGGTTTAGGAAATTCAAATCAATCAAAATTCATCTCTTTAATTTTTTTCCATAAGTATCAAAATTTTACAATAATTAAGTCAAATTACAAATGTATTGTTCCAAAAATCAAGAGGATAATTTT